AGGTCAAAGGCAATTCATACTGTGGACCATCATAGATCGAAATTGGTTGAAGAATGGCACTAAGTGGTATAGTCTTGCTAACTTGCACAAATCCAGGACATGACATGTCGTAGCAGCCGGTCTGGCTTCCGTGTATCTGTTAGCACAATAAACCAACATATACATATAGCACTTATAAAATTCGGAGAAGTTGATAAAATATTAGTGCAAGCTCTTACTAGTATAACTCAAAACTTACAGGCCATGAGGCGTATAAGCGAACATAATCACCGTAGTAGAGCGATGGATTCACCTGTTGTATATACATATTGTCAAACTTTTGTCAAATATATATTCACGCAACTAATTACAGTGGATAAGGCGTATTAGCGAACATGATCACTTTTGCTAAGGAAACATAAACTGACTTACCATCCACCCAGCTGAAATGCTGGCGAATTTTTCTTTAGGCCCTCCACCAACGCTTATGAATGCAAGACTAACTTGATCTAGCAAGATTTTTGGTTTCCATATGTTAATGTTTCCTTTTACTCCAGAAAAACTATCCGGTCCAAAGTCAGCTTTTGCAAACTAATATCCATAAAGAACAAAGAAACTCAAAAAATGAAAGTAGAAAAAAAATGGTGGTTGGTACTCTCAACTTATAGAGGGTTCTTACGTAGAATATTCCATTTGAATTAGTGTTATTTCTCTCTTTGAGAAAAGGTCTCGGGCCGTTGAATCCCATGGATTTCAAACGTTGTGCATGCATAAGATCTTGCATTGTTGTCCTTTTTACAATTACTGTTCCATCTGGACAGCTTATACCTTCTTGCAGAAGATCAAATGTCCCTGAAATGTTGTTTCCAGTGATCCATTCAGGTACAGTTGTTGGCTTTAGCTGTATATACATCAATGTGTTCAAAAATTCCATCATTCTCTAAGGAGATATTCATCTTTGATCGAAAAGAAAGGAGACAAAGAGAGAATTATGTATAAAACAAAACCTGAACAGAGTGGTTTTTGAGTAGATGATGATCAAATGCTAGTTGTTTGTGAATTTCGATACAATCGAATATATCACCATGTTCAGTCTGTTGATAGGGAAAAATCAAAAAAATAATTAGATATGAAACAGTAAGCATGACCAACGTAGTGTTGTCCTAGTGGAAAATCTCTAAGGTGGAGGTGCAAGGTTCGACGCCCGTCGGAAAGGATCTTAACTCCAAAGAAGATGATTTTAATCTGGTGTGGGTCCTGTCTCTGGGAGACGTAGAACCTTCGGGCTTGAACTTCTAGATATATAAAATAAAATAAAAAAGTAAGCATGTAAGAAGAAAGGAAGGTTAAGCCAACCTTGAAACTCTTGATTGCAGGCTTGTTGATAGCTTTGAGTTGTCTCTCCATTTCTTTCATCTCTGCCTTTGATGGTATTGCTCTGCGTTCCTTAGTTGCTTCAGCGGATAAAATAAGAGTGATTGTTAACAGAATCAGTAACACAAAGTGGTTGAAGGAAGCCATATTGATTCTCTAAAAGAGGCTCTTATCTTTACTCTTTCTTCTGCAAAGAAAAAATGAATCAAAAGGATTGATTTATAATGTAGAAAATAACATTAAAACTAAATTTATTCTCAATTAATTAATGCACCTTTGAAGCATTTATTATATTTCATTAAAATAGAGGGTAATATCATTCTATGACCATTGTTGAAGAGTAAATAAAGTATCTATTTGTTTGACCAAAAAAAAAAATTAAGTTTCCATCTGATTGAGAAAAACATAAGTACAGTTCAAGATTCACAAATAAACAAAAATGTAAAAACAGTAAGCTGGAGCAAAAAAAACACAAATTAGAATAATTTTGCATTTACAGTAAACGATTAGTTATTTACCATTTGAAATTCAGATGATTATATTTTTATTTGACCATTTCATATTGTTATTTACAAATAATTTAGCAATGTTTTTAGCGGTTTAGAAACTAGAATCTATTACAGTCAAGTGTTATTTACATTCAAGTGTTTTTTATTTTAGTTTTGCATTGCATAATTGCATTAATGATATTCACATAATCTTGGGCTTATGTAACGGTTACACAAATGTAGAAGAAACAATTTCTGAGCATATTTTGCATATTAATACCTCAGCTAAAGCTTATTGAAGTAAACATTTTTTTGTTAAAAAAGCAAACTATAAACTACGATTGATCCAATTCGTCCACCAAACATTCTTGTATTTCTATTATTCTTACAAATTACAACAAGATCAAAGTTTTATTTTTCAACTTAAAAAGTGAAAAAGCAGAGGATACTTAATCAATGCTGAGAGGTCTTAAGAACATGATAACTAGAATGTGCATCCTCCGGGTCCTCCATAAAAGATAGCGTCATCCCAAACTTTCCCAAACAGCGGTTGGTCCTTTCTGACTTTGTAACAATTCGGAGTGCTTGAGAATGTCTTTAGAGTATCAAGTGGTGGAGTCACACCTACAGATCCAAGATCATTATATACTACAAAATCATTCATATAGGCTACTTTCGTGTAACTTCTTTTCTCTGGGAAATGTCCACTTCCCATGCTTGGGCTCTTTTCTTTCACTGGACTGTATACTTCTCCTCCCCATGAGGCCAAACTTCCTCCATGGCCTAAACCAACATCTGTGAACAATGATTTTGGCCAGTATCCAACATAATTATTATTGAACGCCACCAGCCACCAGTTTCCTGTAATATGATCCTGCTTAAACAGACACGTTTACTTATGCATTAAAAGGACTAGAGAAATACTATGCACATTCTCATTAACAATTGGCTCATTTCATGGAAGTTGATGCTACCTTATACATGTTGATGCCTACTTCATATTGTTTGCCACCGTAAATGGAAACTGGTTGAAGAAGGTAGCCAAGTGGGATATCGGTGCTCACTTGTACAAAGCCAGGACATAATAGATTGTAGCAACCTGTCTTCGTAAACCCATCTGCCTGTTTCGAATCAAAGGGACATATATAAATGATGGCGAGACACATATATTATAGTAAATCTCTTTATAGAGGTTTTAAGAACATACAGTCCAATATGTGTATAAGCGACTGTGATTCTTGTTTAGCCATTGGTACACCTGAGGTATATTTTGGAATAATGTGTGTTTTTGGTAAATTTTCTATATTTTCACCATTGATGAGTGCAGTGCAATTCAGAGAAAGTGAGGGAAAAGTACACAAGATTATGACTTACTATCCATCCAGCTCTGATGCCTTGAAACTGTTCATTTGATCCTGCAGCGATAGTGATACTTGCAAGACTGAATTGATTAGGTGAAACTTCCGGTTCCCAGATGTTAAGGTTTCCCTTTGCTCCATAATGAAATTTTTTGTATTGAGCCACAGCAAACTATAATGCAAAGAAAACAAATAAGAAGAAAGAAGTGATTAATGCTCATTGTGAATGAGAAATTTCTCTACGTGAAGGATGTTTTAGCGTGGTTCATACATGATAACCAGATAGATCAATGTTTTTTCCCTTTGAAGAATCATATCTTGAAGATTTGAACCCCATGGATTTCAAACTCCGAGCTTGTATAAGATCTTCTAGTATGGTCCTCTTAACAATCACGGTTCCAAGTGGACAACTTATACCATCTTGCCTAAAGGGGAGGGAACCACCTTTCTCAGAATTGTTGTTCTTATTTATGGTCCATTTAGGTATAGTCGTAGGCCTCAACTACACATCACATCATAGTTTAATCCAATTATAACATAAGCTCATCTTTAAGAATTTTTAGGGAACTTCTTATATTGAATCAAACCTGAATAGAATGGTTTATGAGTAGAGGATGATCAAAGGCTAGTTGCTTGTGAATGTCGATGCAATCCAATGTATCACCATGTTTAGTCTACAGAGAAAAAAATTCTAAACAAAATGTGATCATGGCCGCACAAAAAAAAACTAACTTACATGATTATATCATATTTTTCGAAAGGCTAACTTACCCGGAAACTCTTGATTGCAGGTTTATTGATATTTTTGAGTAATCCCTCCAAATCGTTTTCCTCCTCTTCCAATTGTTTTGTTCTGTAACTCTCAGAAACTAAAATTAGAGCTATAGCTGAAAAGGTCAGCAAAAGAGACTTTTCATAGGAATTCATGGCAACTAATAAAACTCCAAGAAACCAAGACTATATATTAACTATCTTTCACAATAAATGAAAATAAAAAGTTGAAGCACAACAACTATATATATGGTGTCAGATTACTCTTAAAGACCATAAAATTACTCTTAAAGACCATAAAAATCAATAAACAACCTACTATAGAATGGCTGGCAAGTGGCTCTCTTGCTATTAACTTTATGTTGATTCTAATAAATGTCTTTAACAAACTTTAAGACTTTTTTCTTACCAAAAAAAAAAACTGTTAAGACTTTTATTTTTGTCTTCTTATGAAAAGTAAAGTGTAAAGTATAGGATTTAGATGAAATTTAAAAAAAAAAAAAAACCTATATCAAAAACAAGAATTAACGCCTTCAACTCTTCATTTACCTTTTTCTAAGCTCACGAAAAACATTAAAGTCTCCGTTTACTTCTATCTATGACAAGATATAAGTCAATCCTTTGAACATCGCTGTGTATTAACATTCTAGATACCTTTCCCTAATTTTAAAAGAAAAGGAGAACAAATCAAATTTATAGCTTTTTAACATCGACAACTTTCAGAACACAAAGAATCCAAGGGATTTTGTTTCGGTCTAAATCCAAAACTCATGGCCTAGTTGTTGACAAATTCTGCTCTAAGAAACCCCCAAAAATTCTAGATCGATACCACCGATATGAGGAACTGAAGCATTAAAAGCACTAACTTCGAAGAACTAGAAAAAAATAAAAAGGGAGAAACTTTTCATCTTCTTTGGAAATCTCATGTTTGAGTTTCAATTGTCGGAGTAGTAGTCTTCTTGAGACAGAACAGACTTGAATCAAGAGGCAATAACGACAAACTAACGAAATACAGACTCTTGCAAAATCGATGTTTCCATTGCATCAATTGGTATCAGAGCGACGACTAGTTATCATACATCATGCGTTGCTCTGACACCAATCGACGTGATGGAAACCAAACGATGGAAGTAAAGAACTATCGACATCGAGCAAAGCCTAATCTATATAAAGCCTAATAAAGCTATGTACTGTATATATACAGTGGTTTAGGAGATTAAGCAAACCCTAACCCTAGAATGGGCAACCTTTATATGTTTTTTTTTTTAATAAACCTTAATATGTTTTTTTTACCGTATATATATTTTATGGGAAAGGCTGAAATCTGCTATAAGAGAACTAATTAAAAGAAAAAAAAAAGTTTGAAGACATTTACTGATATTATAACCTAATCAAAATTTTTTTTTTTTTTTGAAAAAGGACACTAGCTATATGAATTAGCTCCAACAGTATCTTCAAGCATAATTGATTGAATTCTTCCACCAAAACAACTGTATTATTTTTCAACTTAAAAAACAAAATAAAAAAACAGAGATCTTAAGAACATGGTAACTAGAATGTACATCCTCCTGGCCCTCCAAAGAAAATAGCGTTATCCCAAAGTTCACCAATACCTGGTTTCTTTATGGCTTTGTAACAATTTGGGGTGCTTGAAAATGTTGTTAGAGAATGAAGTGGTGGACCCATCGAACCTTCCAATTTACTATCTTCTACTACTTCAATACCACTCACATAGGCTGCTTTCTTGAAACCCTCTTCTGGGAAATGTCCACTTCCCATGCTTGGACTCTTCTCTTTCACTGGACTGTATACTTCTCCTCCCCATGATACATAACTTGCTCCATGGCTTAAACCAACATCTGTGAACAATGAATTTGGCCAGTATCCAACATAATTATCGAACGCAACCAACCACCAATTTCCTGTAATATGATCCTGCTTAAACAGACACGGTTATTTCTACATTCAAATCACTAGAGAAGCCTCAACTGTTGGTGGATTAGGCTCATTTCTTGGAACTTCTCAAAGTTGCAAAATTTTGGTAGTTGATGGCTTGATGCTACCTTATATATGTTGATGTTTATTTCATATTGTTCGCCATTGTAAGTAGAAACTGGTTGAAGAAGTAAGCCAAGTGGGATATCAGTGTTCACTTGTATAAAACCAGGACATAATGTATTGTAGCAACCTGTCTTCTTAAATCCATCCGTCTATATGAATCAAATAATATAACATGTATAAATGAGGAGATCCACAACACGAGAATGCGAAAAAAAATCACGATGGCCTGACTTTATATTAAAACTCTTTAGAGATTTTGAGAACATACAGTCCAGTAGGTGTATAAGCGAGTGTGATTCCGGTTCAGCCATTGATACACCTGAGGATATTTTTGAGTGTTGGTTTTGGTAATATATTTAACTTTTCACCATTGATATAAAAATTAATGTAAACTGATACAAGTTAGAGAAAGCAAGGGGAAACACAAAAGATCATGACTTACTATCCATCCAGCTCTAATCCCTTGAAACTGCTCATTTAAGCCTCTAGAGATAAGGATACTTCCAAGACTGAATTGATTTGGTGAAACTTCTGGTTCCCAAAGATTAAGGTTTCCCTTTGCTCCATAATGAGAATTTTTGTACTGAGCAACGGAAAACTAGAATACAAAGAGAAATAAAAGAAAAAAAGAAGTGATTAATGCTCATTGTAGATGGAAATTCAAATTTCTCTACTTGACGGATGTATTAGCGAGATTAATACATGAAAACCAGTCAGATCAATGTTCTTGCTCTTCGAAGTAACATATCTTGAATAGTTTAACCCCATGGCTTTCAAACGCTGATCTTGTATAAGATCATCCGGTGTGGTCCTCTTAACAATCACGGTCCCAAGTGGACAACTTATGCCATCTTGTCGAAGCGGTACAGAACGAGAATCATTATTATTATGTATGGTCCATTTAGGTATAGTTGTAGGCCTCAACTGCACATCATATTTCAAGCCACTCACAAATAAGCTCCTCTTTTTTAAAAAATTACTCGAAGTAGGGAACTTCTATAATATAGACATAAACCTGAATAGAATGGTTTTTGAGCTGAGGATGATCAAATGCTAGCTGCTTTTGAATGTCAATGCAATCCAATATATCACCATGTTCAGTCTACAATATCGCAAAAAGCAATAAACTAAAGAATGTGATTCTGGCCGCATAGAAAACCATAATTTACGGAATATGATATCCGATTTTTCAAAAGGCTAACTTACCTGAAAACTCTTGATTGGAGGTTTATTGATATAGTTGAGTAACCTCACCAACTCGTTTTCATTATCTTCTAGTAATATTGGTATGTGACTCTCTCCAACAAGAATGAGAGATACCGCTGAAAAAGTAAGCAGAAGAAGCTTATCATAAGAAATCATGGCAATTGATATACTATAAAGAATCAAAGGCTCTCTTAATTATGGTTGTCAAAAGTTTAATGAATCATCAAGTATATAAGGTGTCACATTACTCTGAGGCCATTAATTAATATCAGAAAACAATCTATATACCATTAATGAGTGCATGGCAAGTGGCCCTCTTTCTATCCCCCTTATGTGGATTCTAAATTTCTAATAAGAGTTTTTAGCCAACTTTAGTATACATAAATGACTTTTTCTTCTTCTTATCATCTTGTCTTATATAACTTTAAGTGTTTCAAATAAAGGATTACACATATAAAACAAAGACAAACTATCAAGAACAAGAATTAAAGTCATCACTTACCTTTTTTCTAATTTCATAAAATAAAAACTTGTCAGATCTCAAAAAAATGAAAAATTTTAAAGTCTTCGTTTACTTTTTTCTATGCAAGACACGAAAGTGGTATTTTAAAAACAAATAAAGCCCAAATCCAAGATATAAGTCTAACCTTGAGCATAATCGCAGTGTATTGAATATTTCTGGAGAACAAATCAAATTTAGAGGTCCATAACATTGTCAGCTCTCAGAACACACGAAAGTTTGTTCGGACTGAATCCAAAACTTATGGCCTAACTTCTTGTAAAAATTATTGGTTAAAAAACCCCCAAAGTTCTAGATCGATTCATATATATATATGAATGAAACTGAAGCAGTTGAAGCACTGACTACGAAGCATTGGGAGGAAAAAAAAACTGGAAGCAATATCGATGTTTGCATTGCATCATTTGGTATCAGAGCGACGCTTAGTTATTATACATCATGCGTTGCTCTGATACCAATTGATGTGATGGAAACCGAGTGATGGAACTCTAGAACCCTAATTAGTGTAAAGCTCTGTATGTATATATAATTATATATATAGTGGTAGAGAAGATTGAAGAAACCCTAACCCTAGAAAGAGCAACGTTTTTACTGCTGCATATATTTTTTTTTCCTTTTTTTTTGAACTCCTATATGTTTTTACTGCTGTATCAAATTTAACAATTAACTAGGAGAGAGAAACCGTTTGGATGAAATTTATTGATTTGCTTAGAACTTCTAGTCAATAGCAATTATACTTTATGTCCTACTTATATATATAGCAGTTCCTTAATCATATAATCACATGATTTTTGTAGGCAAGAAATGTACGTTTTTTCTCTGTACTTTCAGGTGAGTTTTTTGCACTCAGTCCAATGCTCAATAAACAAATATTGAAAGTTCTGAAATTGTAAAACTTGATTTTGATTATTTCTCCTATTAACTTCATCTGTAATTCTTAAAATCTTGTAAACTCTTCAGTTCATAGAATATTATTTCCCTATGCATCCTCCAGGACCTCCATAGTAAACAGCTCTTATCCAAGGTTCATCATCATCATGAACATACTTGGCTTTATAACAATTTGGACTGCTCTCATGTGTCTTTATAGTGTAGATTTGTGGAATCAAAGCTTCTCCCTTACCATTGAGGATATGGATATTGTTTACAAAGGCTGCTTTTCCAAAGCCTTCCTTAGGAAAATGTCCACTGCCCATAATTGGACTCTTTTCTGTCGTTGGACTGTACACTTGACCTCCCCAAGATGCAAGATCTGCTCCTTTAACTAAGCCTGAGGCTATGAACAATGACTGTGGCCAATACCCAACATTCACTCTTCCAAATACAAGCCACCAATCTCCCGTGACACGATCCTGTTCCCGATTTTATAAGATGAATATCCAAGTGATCACTTAAAAGATTAGTTAGATCACTAGAGACTCTGGAGGTAATTACCTGATGCAAGCTTAAGTCCATTTCTTTTTGTGTACCATTATAAATTGAAACTGGTTGAAGAAGGACACCAAGTGGTATCCTCTTGCTGACTTGCACGAATCCAGGGCATCTTATGTCGTAGCAGCCTGTCTTATTATATCCATCTGCCTGTTTCAATCAATTTACCATACATATATCACTAAGACCATGTGAAGTTAGAAAAAATATTAGCGTAAACTTTCAAAGGGGTTACTCAAAACTTACAGTCCAGTAAGTGTATAAGTGAATGTGATCCTTGTATAACAATGGATTCACCTGTAGTACATATGTTTGCAAACCTTTTTTTTCTCAAACTCTACATTTATGTGATTTAAAGAGAGTTTGCGAAATAACGAAAGAACAAGAAAATAGATTTACCATCCATCCAACGGAAATGCTGGAGAGCTCTTCTATTATTGGACCGCCAGCAATCGCCATGGTTGCAAGACTAATTTGATCTTGTGACACTTGTGGATCCCAGAGGTTAATGTTTCCTTGTACTCCAGCAATGTTGTCATATTCATAGTCGGCCGTTGCAAACTATATATCCATAGAGAACAGAGAAATTAAGAAAATGGAAACAGAGAAATGGTGTTTTATGTTGAAAGTAAGGATTGGTACATGATGTCCAGTCAAATCAATGTTGTTTCCGACATGTCTAGGGATATTAAATCCAGTGGATTTCAAATGTTGTGAGTTTATAAGATCTTGGATTGTAGTCCTTTTAACAATTACTGTTCCATGTGGACAACTTATTTCCTTTAGCTGAAGCTGCAAAGGATTAACTTTTTGTGCATTGTTGTGGCATGTGATCCATTTAGGTACACTTGTTGGCTTTAGCTGCATATACGTCAATGCTTTCACAAAATCATTCTCTAAAT